AAAGAAATAATTTAGTCAGGTGGATATTAAATCATCAGCAGGCAATGATAACTCATGTGCATGAGCAGCTGCTCAGCTGGTTGAAGCAAACTGATAGTGTTGAAAAGCATAGTGGGGCAGAGTGTTAGAATTATGTAGTGGTTTAATTACTGGCTGATAATATAAAGGCAATGAGAGCTTTTGAGTGCTGCAAGGGCATTAAGTCTCCCTTAAATGATCTCACACACACTCTACTCACTGGTCCCCTGCGGCGGTGGCTGAGCTGCCGGAGTTCGTCTCTGCACTGCGACAGCCGGGCCTGGCTGGACTGACACTCCTGCTCCATAGCGTGCAGCTCTGCCTGCAGCTCCTCACACTGCACGCACACAATAAAGAGCGTGAACATGCAGAAATGCTCAAAATACACTCTAAATGCTGGTGATCCTCAGACAGGCACTTTTCAAAATGTACTTGCATGTGTGTTAGCACTGTGGTTGCAAACATACTGCACAAGATTACCTTGTATATAAGACAAAAACAAATAATGGGGGTAATATTTACCTGCGCCTGTTAGTGACTTTGTGAAACACCTAGCTGGGACATTCCTTGTGTGGCAAGCTTGGATTAAAGAGTCAGACTTGTGAATGAGCTACAGTTTACTGTAATGTCCATGTTTTACCTCTCTCTCTTTGAGCTGGAGCTTCTCCTGAGTGTGGCGGAGCTGGTCCTCCAGCTGAGAGTCTCTCCTCACCGTCAGCCGAGGCTCAGGTTCCTGTGACGCCAGACACTCCTGCATCATGAAGTCTTGACTCTCCTCTTCGCCATCTAGGGCACCGAAAATATTATAAACATATTGAATGTGCGCTATTTAACAATAATCATAAAAAACACCAAAGATGTCTTGCCTCTGAGTTGCTGGATTTCTTCTCTCAGGGTCTGGTTGTCTTCCTCCAGCAGACAAATGTTGTACTGTAGGTCCTGCTTTTCTTGTCTCAATGAAAGCATCTCATCTCTCAGCTCACGCTCTCTGGCTCTGCACAGCTGATAATTCAAGAAATAAATTCACATTTCTAACATTTATAATCAAACTTTTGACCGCGCACTCATGCACGTTGTCACGACCTAACATACCTCCACTTGGCTGTGCAGCTGTTGCAGCTGTTCATTACTGAGGTGCTGGCTCTCCCTGAGCTTTCCAGAGCTCAGCTTCAGCTCCTCATGAAGGCTTTGCCACTTCAGGGCCTCTGCCTTTGCTGTAATTAGCGCTTCCTGTTGACACAAAATGCAATGTTTTTAAAAAAAAACCCCATCAAATTAGGAAACTTGCTTCCAGGTCACCAGATGCTGAGTCTATTAACTAAAAGGCAAACAAACTGAAACCTCAGTGACACTTGTTTCTTTTCTGCGTGGTAAAACAGAGAA